GACCAGCACCTATGTTACAGTATGCTGAATTATCAAGGATATTTAGGGGGTGATTTACTAACCTAAACACACACACACACCAGGTGTGTGTGATTTTCACACAGCAAAACGTATTTATCAACTAAAAAGTCTCTAAAAGCATATTTCCACTAATGCCATATATGGAAAAATCATGCACATGATGCATATATAATGCTGCTTCACAGTTTAGACAAAAATGGTTAGCTCATGCATTTACATTCCTTGCATTCATCAACGCAAGCAACACAACGTAGAGCTAATTTACACAACATCACCTTGGAATTCATTCAGGGCTTTGCACAACACACCTGCTGTGTGTGTACACATTACAAAGGTGTTTAGATTCCACCCATAGATCATGCTGGGAGGAAACACACTGCAGAGGTGTATACACATTCGTGGTGTGTTTATAAGGTTAGTAAATCAACCCCTTTAGTCTCTGTAGTCCATGATTCTTTTCAGTGGAGATATTAAATGGTATCCAATGACTAAACTCTTTTTTTTTAGTTTTGGACTGAATTGGAAAGGGTTAGCAAGCTTGTCCCGGCAGGGAAGATTCGCTCAATATTTTTATCTATTTAACCATTGTCACTTCAAATGAAAAAAGGGAAAATCCAAAATTTAGAATTTCCACTGAAACAGAATTTGGGGCGGAAGTCTTCCCAGGGGACACTTGTTGTGGTGACACTTGTCACCCAGGGTGACACTTGTTTCCTCTCACTTCCTGTTTCTACAGGACAGGAAGTGAAGTGAAATCTCAGTATTGGGAGACAAATGGCAAAGGAAACACGGTTTTTGGTCCTTCCCTACTCCAGAACTATGAAAATTAAATCTTAGCTTGTGCAGTCTGCTTGTAACCAATCCTGTGGATCCTCCCTCTTCCTGTCTCTTTATACTCAGGGCAGCGAACAGCACGCGGCCCGAGCAACGCTTTCCCAAGCTAGTTGCCAAGTCCGCCATTTGTGATTTACCCTGAATTACTGGAAGGTTTCCTGTGTACTAAACCTTTTGGCTTGTCCTTGGAAATCCCTGTTGACTGGATGCCCTGTGCTTCGCTTTTGTCCTTGGAAAGCCCTGACTACAGTCTACCCTGTGCTTCGCTTTTGTTCTTAGGAAATCTCTGTCTACTGGCTGTCCTGTACTTCACTTTGTCCCTGGAAGTCTTTAGCCTGTCCCTAACCTTTGATTTGTATCCTGTACCTGTTAAGTGAGTTGGGTGGACCTAGGGATTGAGACCTGGGGTCAGCACACAGCCAAGTCCATCTCCACCATCAGGAGCTCTGGTGAATACCGTCTGGCTCTTAGATTCCACATCCCGGGGGACCCCATGCCACCTAATCAGCATTGCAGCCCCCTGCCTTGTATTTGAACTTCCAGCTTAAGCTGACTTCCACTGCCTCATCCACATACCTGCTCTGCTCCCTGCATGTACTCCAGCTCTGGGAGTCATCAGCCTACACTGCTTGGACCCTTTTCTCTAAGTGTCCCTGCCAGTGTAGTGGAAAGGGTCCACATACCTGACTCCAGTTTATACCTGTGAGTCCCAATCCATGACAACTATATAGATATTTAAGAGTGTGTTAAGTGATAGCAATCGATTTACAGTTTTTAACCTTCAAAGATATTATGTCACTGAACACAAATGTTATTATCTGATCGAAAAAATGCTGTGTTTTTTTTACTACTTCCAAAAAATGGTTATATTATTCCACTCTTCTATACTGAACTGTGAGACAGTCACAATTGCTGTACTGCCTTGTAAGGACAGTAGTGCTTCTTTATATTAATTCTATATCTTAAACCCAATTGTGTAATCATTGAAGTATAAAATATTGAAATCAGCTGGGTATACTGTGTTTTCCTTTAAAGCTCATTTGTTAAAAATAAAGCATTTGAAATTGTTCATTGTGAATGTCAAATGGGAATCTTTTCTTATAAAGTACCGAAAATGTAAGAATTCTTGGTAACGGGGCATATAGCCTTTCTTTGGTGCTGATGTTCTATGTTCACACCACTGTTATTTTACATTCTGACATGTATTGCATTTGTTGCTGAATACTAAGAATACAATTTTTTTGCTTGTACGAAAGAGTGTAAAATGGGATCTTTTGTAAAAAGGGAATAGTCTCTTAAGAATGATATAGCAAATGCTGAAAGTTAACATAAAAATGCCACTTTTTGAAAGAAAAGGTTGTCAAAAAGTTTCTTTGTGCGTTTAATATGTGCGATTATGTAGCATAAAATGCAGAGTTTGTAAAATTTTCTTGAATATACAGGCAAAATATGAATAATTCAAAACAAGTCATAAGTCCAACAATGCACTGTGTCTTTTATATCTCTGACTGAAGATATCATTGTTCTCCCAATAGAGCTGAATTTGCACAAGTTACACCTCTGAAAATGCCAATGGTCTTTAGTCTAGTTTTCCGAGCTGTCACGTGCCCACAAGAAAGACTACTTATTGAGAATAATAGATCATTAATGTTACAGCAGTATGTTGGGAAACATTTAGAGCTGATAGCTTCCATTATGTATTTCAGTTAGAAAGCATCATACTTTTTAAGAATTATTATTTGGAACCTTCTTAGTTTTATGTAACATAACTACTTACAAATTAAATTTCATATTAACTTGTAATATAATCCCAAAACCTCAGTGCAAAGCTGTAGTATATCATTTTTTTTAATTATTTGTGGTTTATCCTAAAATGTATTTAATAGCACAAATTAAAATTTTATTTGAACTTGACTGCAAACATAACTAGTGATGTGTGTTACTTCCTAATTAGTGATCAAAATAAACTAAAAGTATCACATGACATTAATCTCTTGTTGGATTAGAATGCTGTGTCAAAATATGCTTAAGATGTAGGTCACCATTGTATAAAAAGTAGGTTAAATATCCATTTCTGCATTTAAGGGGTTCTCTACTGGTCACTCAAAATATTCTTTCAGCTTATTATAGGCACTTAAACAATAACTAGTTGTTTGCTATGCAGTTAGAATAATAAAGTTAACTCTGACACATTGTAAATCAGTCTCTTTGGCCAGCACGCTGCATTGCTTTTCCTGTACAGCACCCTGGGACTCCCAAATACTGTGGAGCCCTGAGATTACATATAGTGACTAGCTACCGTAGTCACCATTTATGCCAGCTTGTCACTGCAAAGGGCAGCCTTAATCAGTAGTAAAAAGGCACTGTCAATGGGGCAGATGGGCAGAGCTGGCAGCTAGAAAAATGCTTGCTATCCTGTCCATCTTTTAGAAGCACACTTGCCTTTTAAATTGCTGTTGGTGAAATAAAAATATATACTACAGCTATGCTGCAAGATGTTTTTCCAGTAAGGTTAAGAAAAGCAAATGTAATATCTTCTTCTGTGTAGTGTGTATCTCCACCCAAAACTTTTTGTTTTGGATAGCGCGGGTAAGGATTAGATCCCATGCCATGGTTTACTGCAGTTGGAGGCTTTGTTCGAGAGAATCCTTCACTTCCTGTCTGTCTGATAAGAAGGTTGTGGCCGGGAAGAAAATGAGGGCAAATCTCTCGAACAGCACCACATAAAAAATTAAAATACTTTTTTAGGTTAGGTAGGAGAATACTATAACCTCTGTCAGCTTTTTATTGTTCTCTGCTTCCCCCACTGTCTATTAAAAGGATGGCCCCAGAACAGGAAGGGTCCATCACTCTAATGTAGCTCCAGATAGCAGCCATAATTGACAAGGGTTCTAACCTTTATCCCAGTCTATCCAAAATACTTAGGTTATTCACAAAGCTGCTGAAGGATCTAGCCGTAGCTTCAGCTGATCCGTCGGCTAGCTTCGGTCCCAGGACCCCTTCGGTTCAGTAGAACCGAAGCGCTGCTGTACGGGCTATTCACTATAGCCCGTACAGCTCCCGAAGTTGACCGAGCGGCTCAGTCGAGCCAAAGGCATATGCTTCGGCTTGACTGAGCCGAGGTGAAAGCTGAAGCTGGCTGAACGGCCCTCTATTGGCTGACCGACAGCCTGCTACTGACAGCTGGGCAGAGCCAGCTGTAATCTCATGGCTGGCTCCGGCCACTTGCAGAGACAGATTAGCGTCCCTGGTTACCAGGTAACCAGGGACGCTGATCTGTCATTACACTGAGAACACAGCGGAGCCGCCGTGATATCCCGGCGGAGCAGCAGCCATTCAGAATATGCTGCCTGGCGCTGAGTGTCAGCTTGAGGTGGGAGGGACTGGAGCTATGGCCGCGAGTGAGCTATATCCATACATGCATTGCTTACAGCTCCCTTGCGTGTCCTATAAAGGTGCCTGGGCCAAAGTGATGTCACATTCTGCCTCCCTGCACCTCTACAGAGCGTGCAAGGGAGTTGTACAAGCAATTCTGTTGTGCGAGGTGCATTGCGTTGCCATTCATTTGAATGGCATCCCAAACACACCTCCCACCCACAGTTCAAAAGCCTGCACCAGAACGCACGGTACCACAATGCCGTGTGTTCCATTGCAATGCGACTTGGGTCGCAGATTATTGACTAGGGACAGATGTGGGTCCTGAGCTTACACAGGTTGAGAACCACTGGTTTACAGGATATATTTGAGCATCATTGGTTGTTTGATGCGCACTCTCTACAGGTCAACCAGTTTGACAATTCGAGTCAATGGGGTTATTTTACTGAAGGCAAATAATGAAAGTTCATTGTGTAAGGGAATTTGCACTTTGCAGCGGAAGTGTCCATAATGTTTAGTGAATATGTTGCTTATATCAAGCTTTTCATACAATGTTTATGAGTGTATAGATTTTTAGCTGCAGTATTTTTTGTTCTTTAAAAAGCAGTCTCAAAATTTGTTGGACTGAAGGATGTCACGGGTGTCTCGTGTTCTTTCATGAACATTTCTGTCCTGTTTTCTTTCTAAAGTATCTTTTAGCCTATTTCCTCTGGCTGTGGTTTTAGAGAATTCTGTTTAATCTTTTCATCTCTCTCTCCTATATGTTTTAGCCCAACCTCAGAGCTTGCCTCAGCCAAATACTTCATCACTGGAACAGAGCGAGGAAGAAACTGGCAAGATAAAAAATGGTCATGTAGGTCTGAGTAATATCAATGGAATCCACAATGGGGTCAAACATGTTGCTGCAGATCATAGAAAGTTATCAGCTCCTGTTTCGCAAAAAATGCACAGGAAGATCCAGTCCAGTTTGTCTGTGAGCAGTGATGGAAGTAGAAAAAGCAAAATAAGCTCCACATATTCTCAGAAACCCACCACTTCACCAGAAGGTAAGCTATGTTTTGGAAAGATTGGTATTCCTATTCATTTAAAATTACTTACTGACATTTTAAGAAGGAATAAAGTGAAATACAATAGATTCACTGACCTTAATTAGTTAGTGAAAGGATAGTTTGTGTTTATTGTTTTTAAATTAATTTCTTCTCATTTTTAAACGGATGCAATTTCTGAAGGCATTGAACTATTACAGGGTGGGATTACTAAAGGTATTAATAATAAAAGTTCTAATATTTAAATAGACCTTCAATTCACTACATTTTGGAATACAAGTTTATGTATTTATTTGATGCTCTTGGCGATTAACTTGACATGGTTTTGTTTTTTTGTTAAAAGTCTTAGGGCTCGTTTACACCAGAATGCTTTTAATATGCACGTGCTGCAACGTGTTGGTGAGAGTAAAGACTTAAATGATGGATCTCAATGTGTTTTTCAAAATACCTCACTGTGACCCCTTAGGAGCTCAGTATCCGCAGATCTGCCAAGTTAACCACCTCTTGGGACACTGTTAAATGACTATGCACCTTTAAAGGAGAACTATGGGGTCAGTGTTTTTCCCCCTAGTTCTCCTTAGGGTAACGGGAGGACACAAACTAGCGTCCTCCTGTTACCCTAAGCTCAGTATACCGCGAGCTACAGCTCTCGGTATACTGAGACGCCGCACCTGGAGCCGATCCCGACGTAGATGACGGGATCCGCCCAGCTGCTTGAGTGACAGCTGGTTCTGCCTATCTAGAGGCAGAGCCAGCTGTACCCGCCCCCTCCCTCGTCCGTTCCGCCAGTCAGCGCTGGCAGATCGGAGCGGGCAGAGAGCCGTGACAGGATCGAGAGGTGAGGGAACCCAGTAAGTGTTCCCTCACACTTTGTTCGAGAGAATCCTTCACTTCCTGTCTGTCTGATAAGAAGGTTGTGGCCGGGAAGAAAATGAGGGCAAATCTCTCGAAACGCACCACATAAAAAATTAAAATAGTTTTTTAGGTTAGGTAGGAGAATACTATAACCTCTGTCAGCTTTTTATTGTTCTCTGCTTCCCCCACTGTCTATTAAAAGGATGGCCCCAGAACAGGAAGGGTCCATCACTCTAATGTAGCTCCAGATAGCAGCCATAATTGACAAGGGTTCTAACCTTTATCCCAGTCTATCCAAAATACTTAGGTTATTCACAAAGCTGCTGAAGGATCTAGCCGTAGCTTCAGCTGATCCGTCGGCTAGCTTCGGTCCCAGGACCCCTTCGGTTCAGTAGAACCGAAGCGCTGCTGTACGGGCTATTCACTATAGCCCGTACAGCTCCCGAAGTTGACCGAGCGGCTCAGTCGAGCCAAAGGCATATGCTTCGGCTTGACTGAGCCGAGGTGAAAGCTGAAGCTGGCTGAACGGCCCTCTATTGGCTGACCGACAGCCTGCTACTGACAGCTGGGCAGAGCCAGCTGTAATCTCATGGCTGGCTCCGGCCACTTGCAGAGACAGATTAGCGTCCCTGGTTACCAGGTAACCAGGGACGCTGATCTGTCATTACACTGAGAACACAGCGGAGCCGCCGTGATATCCCGGCGGAGCAGCAGCCATTCAGAATATGCTGCCTGGCGCTGAGTGTCAGCTTGAGGTGGGAGGGACTGGAGCTATGGCCGCGAGTGAGCTATATCCATACATGCATTGCTTACAGCTCCCTTGCGTGTCCTATAAAGGTGCCTGGGCCAAAGTGATGTCACATTCTGCCTCCCTGCACCTCTACAGAGCGTGCAAGGGAGTTGTACAAGCAATTCTGTTGTGCGAGGTGCATTGCGTTGCCATTCATTTGAATGGCATCCCAAACACACCTCCCACCCACAGTTCAAAAGCCTGCACCAGAACGCACGGTACCACAATGCCGTGTGTTCCATTGCAATGCGACTTGGGTCGCAGATTATTGACTAGGGACAGATGTGGGTCCTGAGCTTACACAGGTTGAGAACCACTGGTTTACAGGATATATTTGAGCATCATTGGTTGTTTGATGCGCACTCTCTACAGGTCAACCAGTTTGACAATTCGAGTCAATGGGGTTATTTTACTGAAGGCAAATAATGAAAGTTCATTGTGTAAGGGAATTTGCACTTTGCAGCGGAAGTGTCCATAATGTTTAGTGAATATGTTGCTTATATCAAGCTTTTCATACAATGTTTATGAGTGTATAGATTTTTAGCTGCAGTATTTTTTGTTCTTTAAAAAGCAGTCTCAAAATTTGTTGGACTGAAGGATGTCACGGGTGTCTCGTGTTCTTTCATGAACATTTCTGTCCTGTTTTCTTTCTAAAGTATCTTTTAGCCTATTTCCTCTGGCTGTGGTTTTAGAGAATTCTGTTTAATCTTTTCATCTCTCTCTCCTATATGTTTTAGCCCAACCTCAGAGCTTGCCTCAGCCAAATACTTCATCACTGGAACAGAGCGAGGAAGAAACTGGCAAGATAAAAAATGGTCATGTAGGTCTGAGTAATATCAATGGAATCCACAATGGGGTCAAACATGTTGCTGCAGATCATAGAAAGTTATCAGCTCCTGTTTCGCAAAAAATGCACAGGAAGATCCAGTCCAGTTTGTCTGTGAGCAGTGATGGAAGTAGAAAAAGCAAAATAAGCTCCACATATTCTCAGAAACCCACCACTTCACCAGAAGGTAAGCTATGTTTTGGAAAGATTGGTATTCCTATTCATTTAAAATTACTTACTGACATTTTAAGAAGGAATAAAGTGAAATACAATAGATTCACTGACCTTAATTAGTTAGTGAAAGGATAGTTTGTGTTTATTGTTTTTAAATTAATTTCTTCTCATTTTTAAACGGATGCAATTTCTGAAGGCATTGAACTATTACAGGGTGGGATTACTAAAGGTATTAATAATAAAAGTTCTAATATTTAAATAGACCTTCAATTCACTACATTTTGGAATACAAGTTTATGTATTTATTTGATGCTCTTGGCGATTAACTTGACATGGTTTTGTTTTTTTGTTAAAAGTCTTAGGGCTCGTTTACACCAGAATGCTTTTAATATGCACGTGCTGCAACGTGTTGGTGAGAGTAAAGACTTAAATGATGGATCTCAATGTGTTTTTCAAAATACCTCACTGTGACCCCTTAGGAGCTCAGTATCCGCAGATCTGCCAAGTTAACCACCTCTTGGGACACTGTTAAATGACTATGCACCTTTAAAGGAGAACTATGGGGTCAGTGTTTTTCCCCCTAGTTCTCCTTAGGGTAACGGGAGGACACAAACTAGCGTCCTCCTGTTACCCTAAGCTCAGTATACCGCGAGCTACAGCTCTCGGTATACTGAGACGCCGCACCTGGAGCCGATCCCGACGTAGATGACGGGATCCGCCCAGCTGCTTGAGTGACAGCTGGTTCTGCCTATCTAGAGGCAGAGCCAGCTGTACCCGCCCCCTCCCTCGTCCGTTCCGCCAGTCAGCGCTGGCAGATCGGAGCGGGCAGAGAGCCGTGACAGGATCGAGAGGTGAGGGAACCCAGTAAGTGTTCCCTCACCTCCCGATCTACTGAGCCGACCTGTGACAGTCTCATTGTCACAGGTCGGCTTAGAACTATGAGGTGAGTGGAAATCACTCATCTCATAGTTCTCCTTTAACTTCTTGAATGTAATTATTTTCATCAGCAATTTGAGACCTTTTCTTACTAAGGCCTTTTATATTTTATTTCTGCTCTGTCATGGAGCAGTAATCAAGTTATTGCAGGGGGCAGTGCACCTTTTCTTTACAGATAGATGACCGTGCGGAAAAAAGGCCTGAACTAGTTGGGTATCAGGAATTTCAGTTACAACATAGATATTAATTGTTGCTGAAAGATTTGTCCCTGCAAACATTACCGGTAGTATTGAAGAGATTTAGTATGATATTCTAGAAATTTGACAGAGAAGCAAAGCTTTAATACCTTTTGCAGGTTTTTATTGCTGTCCATGTCACCAAGACAAGTGAAGGGGAATGTCTTTTAAGAGGCACACAGTGTTTTTGAAATCATTATTTCAAGGATGTGGTTAGAGCCTCTGGCAAAATGTATTGCGGTCTCTGTCTTTGTTGAAGAGACATCTTTGTTTCCTTTCAGATCGTAAGAGCAGGAAGTGGGGTAATATGTCCTCCTTATCAGAGACACAGACAACATTAAAGAACTGACAGGGTTATAACCCTTTACTTCTTTATCCAAAAGTTAAAACATGTCTGTGAATGCCCTCTTATATTCCCTATTGTTAACTAGTATTTTAAATGATTGTTTATGGAAATTCATTCTTAAAAATAAAAATATTTTCCACATTAACATGGCATGACAAGTAATAAAATAATATGTGGCACTCTGTGATATGTTTATCTGAGCGCATTTGGCATACAATTTCCCTGAAAATTATTTTTAAATATTGGCAACTGTGTTTTTGTATATATAGCAACATTATAGCCCTGATAACATTGAAATTATTCTCACTTTTGATACTGCACATCTGCTGATGTTTGCTTTTTAAAATGGTAGTATGGTTAACACTAGAAGCAAAGAGCATGAGCTTTTGTAAGCCTCTCTTACTAAGGGCAATTTATGTCCTAGACCCCAAAAAGGCAATATTGCTCCACTTGTGATCAATTAATTTAATCCTGTTTATTGTGTATAGCTACCACCAGGAATTGGTGGAATGTGGTCCAAGGAAGGGGATTTATCCTAAAAAACATATGTTGCATTGCTTTTTGAAGGTTTCTTCAACCTTTACATGGAATTACCCTTTTTGAATTAGAAATTGAATTATACAGACTTTTCTAGAATTTTTGGTAACACTGGCATCGTTCTAAGCTCATACTTAATGTTAAATTGTACCATTCTGGTTTTGGCAGTATTGAAATATTCTGACTAGCATTCCTGTTCTCACTATGGCAATATAGTCCTGATTTGATTTGTTGCTGTCACAACAGATGGATTTAAGCATGGCTCTGTTAGTCTTTACTGTGATGATTTGTGCATTTTTT